CCACCACGCCTATCCTCCGTCATTTTGATCCAGAACGTCCTCCTACGGTAATAGTTTATACCAGCGACTGGGCTGGCTCCTCATCTCTGGTACAAGAACTTGAGGGGATCTGTCATTCAGTCACCTTCGTCAGCCGGACACTGAAGCCGAATGAACTGAGCTACGGAGCGGTGGAGAAAGAGATACTCGCGCTCCTGCGCGTGTTGGATCTGAATTACAACCTGCCGGTGGGAAGATCCATCCGGATCCTGACCCGACACTCTACGCTAGCCTGGCTGTTCAAGTCGGCCGGGTTACAAGGACGTTTGGGACAGTGGGCAGCTTTACTCTCGCCTTGGACACTGAAGATTGTGAAATGTTCGAAAGGGGAAGACGAGATCCTGGGAGTCTTGGCCGCAAGCATCACTCCTCGAGCTAAGATGGATGAGGCGCTGACTAGGGTCGCTCCTAAGAAAGAGCCCAAACGCCGGATCCAGATCCAGATCCCGACGGTACAGGCAGATGAGGATCTGTACGTCCTGAGTTTCGATGGATCCGCTCGCGTACGACGCGGAGGCGGGGCGTACAGTGCAATACTGTGGAGACTACCTGGATGGGAAGTTGTACGGGCCAGATCCACTTATGCGGAAGGCCTCACCGTCAACGAAGCGGAGTATAACGGGCTACTGCTGGGTTTGGATCTACTAAAGGGACAAGATCCGAAAAGGCTGGTGATTTGAGGGGATTCAAATTTGGTAATCAGACAGGTGCGAGGTGAGATTGACGGCAAGGCCCCGGCCCTAACACTGTTACGGCAGAAAGTGATGATCCACCTGCGCGGTTGGATGAATCACGAGTTGGTGCATGTCAAGCGAGATTGGAATGCCAGTGCAGATAGCTTGGCCAGCGCCGCTTTACGGAATCAATGTGGTGTTGAAGTGGAGAGAGAGGCCGAGCATCAGGATCTCGTTACGCTGAACCGACTAGACGAAGTGGTGGTAGTGGGATCCGGGAAAAGGACAGTCCAGGTGATGGCCGTCACTAGGTCCAGAGGAAGGATTGGATCCAACCCTTCAAATTCTCGAGGAAACATTTGTGAAGAGAGTCCGCATCGAGCGGATCCTCAACGCACAGAACGAGGAAGCGTGGATCCTAGGACTAAAGAAGTATCTGATGGGGGATGTACGAGACCTGAGTCGGGAAGATGCCAAATCCTACAGCATTATCGCTACAGATTACGCGGTGGATCTGAATGATTTGCTCTTCTATTGCCCCCCTACGAAGAGAGTCAACGAGGATCGGGATGGTTTGATGAGACTGGTGATGCCGGAAACCTAACAACAGGATGTCCTACACCACTATCACGCTAGCTTGGAAGGCGGACATCAGGGTATTGGTCGGACCTACCAACGGATCCGGGAATGTTTTCACTGGAGGGAACTATTCAAGAGCGTACAACGGTATGTCGGGGAATGTGTGGATTGTGAGACAGGCAAGGGCAGGCCCACAATCGAAGGGGAGTCACCTGAGAATGTCCAAGCGACTTACCCTTTCCAAATCATAGCCATGGATCATATCCCCTCGTTGCCCAAGTCGTTCAAGGAAACACAGAATTGTTGATTTGGGTGGACCAGTTTACCGGATACGTGGTAGCCAAAGCTAGTGCGTCTAGAGCTGCGCAGACCATTGCTGAATCGTACGAGGAGTGCGTTTTCCGAAGATTTGGAGCTAGCGAGATGATTAGACATGATCGGGAGCCAGGCTTTATGTCTGATTTCTTTCGAGCATTCAACCGGATCCTGGGGCAGCGACAGCGAGCAACCATGGCATATCGTCCCCAAGCTAACGGGTCGGCCGAGCGCATGGTACAGACGATCACGACAGCACTCAAGATGTACGTCCAGGATTTGGATCAGAGGGATTGGGATGAGTACGCAGAACGGCTCCCCTTCGCGATGAACACCGCCCAAGACAGGATCCGGGGTGATACCCCATTTTACTTGGTACATGGGTGGGATCCCAAATCCACCCTGGAAGCGGCCATCCCAGTATGCAGCACCAAGAAGAGAAACCGAGATCCGAGGCGATGGCGATACCAAGTCCAAAAATACTACCGGCAAGCTAGATCCCAGGTATACGAACGACTGCGGAGTGCGATACAGGATCGAGCAGATCGACACAACGAAGACGCCCGTCCACATCAAATTCAAGTGGGATCGCAGGTGTGGCTTTATTTGGATCGAGTGAAAGAAGGGTACGCCCGCAAATTGGCCCATCTATGGCATGGACCGTTCCGGGTGAGCGAGAAGATTGGAGAACACGCGGTAAAGCTGGAAACGGCAGGTACCGAATATCGCCTGTTCCCTGTAGTACACGTATCCAAGCTGAAGTTGGTCAAAGAATATCCGGATCGGCCGCAAATCCGTCTTTCGGTGGATGGATCCGATCGCGTCGACTTCGACGAAGTCCTTCTACCGGAAGATAGTTGGAATGTGGATCTCGAAGCCGACGAGTTCGAAGTCGAGAAGATCACCGATATGAGGTCAGGGAAGCGAACTAGATACCGACGGATCTTCCGCGAATTTTCCTGGGGAATTGGTCGTGGAATATATCGCAACCCAGTTGGGTAGAACAGGCAGAATCTGAAACTGTGGAGCAATACTCCTATGTATTTCCGAGGGATCGTACGAATCGTAACAGATTCGGCGTGATGCATTTCTCATGAAGAAGAGTAGAGAAGGGACCCATGGATGTGAGTTGGTCATGTCGATGGGAGGATGAAAAAGGGCCCACAGGAAGGGTGTGGGCCAGGAGGAGGAGGATCGCTGATGTGAGTTGGTCACATCGGAAAGAAAGAGAAGACGAATCCACAGGGGAAGGGTGGATTAGGAGGAAGGAGTGAATGGTTATGCATAAGAGTGACGTTTTACGTGCGAGGAGTCCTGTTTGATCTCAAGCACGAGCTTTCAAGGTCCCCAACTGTACTGACCCAATTGATCCTGGGTCATTGGCGCTAGATCCGGATGAAATCCAGGCGCAGATCCAACCGGATCCGGGATCCCGCCCAGATCGAGGTGTACACTGAAAGGGTGGATCCCGCCCAGATCCAGGTGTACACTGAAAGGGTGGATCCCGCCCGGATCCAGGTGTACACTGAAAGGGTGGATCCCGCCCAGATCCAGGTGTACACTGAAAGGCCCGGACTAGATTTCTCAACCAACGAGGGAATGTTATAGACATATTCAAGTAAGAGAGTGTGGATTATGATAGCTTATGCAAAGGGGTAGCTCGACCCAGTTTCCAGTCGCTAGTTACTGCTACGAAATGAATCCACGAAGACTGAAACTGGGGGCGTGACGTCAAAGAGTGATGAGGATCAGGTAGGCTTGGGCTGAACGTTGAAGAACTTGCCCACTAGACGCTGGATCTGGCGTCCTGGGTGATGGGGCCTTGCCAGGGCGATTTGCCGGTACGCTTGGCGGGAGACATGTGTCACGAAGAAGAGAAAGCGGGTGTGGATGCTGGTA